CTCACTTTTTTAACTAACTGCATTAAAGTCTACCTGAGACTTAAAAAGTGTATTTTCTCTTGGAGGGGAGATCGCCCCAACGGACTATCATCAGAATAGCAAGAAAATGCCACAATCACCTTATTCCACACCATTTTGTAATTCGCTCAACCTCCAAAAGAAGGCAATGGCCTTGTCTATGGGAACAGAGTGGTCCTAGCACAGTGGCCTATCATATATTTTCCAGATTGTGGTCTCGGCCACTTTAGCTAAGACAAGACAGCTGTTACACTTAAAATTATAAACTCAGTTTGCAAGTAATTCTTACCACACCAGAAAAAAGTAGTCACAGAAAATAGTGAAAATAATAGTACCTCCATGTACATATGTAATAGTTGGGAGGACAGAAATTCCCTTCTGAATGAAAGATACTTCAGTACTTTCCAAGCCAGTCCACAATGAGGGAGGACAATGCTATTTTTTAAAATCCTATTCCCTGTTTTTATTGCACATGTCATATTACATTGTACTGTACAGTGTGTGGTGACGAGAAATTCCCTGCTTATTTAATTGTGATCCTTCAATGAATTTGAAAGGGAGTGCTTTATTTCCATTTCTTTAATTTACTAGTTCTTTAGCTGATGATTTTATTAACCCTTGTATTTGAGAACTGATGCTTAACAAAAAAGAAGAGGAAAAAAGGCCTTTGGCAGTATTGTGAAGGCCTGGAACTGAATAATGCACTTTAATAATGAGGGATAGAGCTATGGCTTTTGCTGATGGCTGTGACCGGCTCTGTGACCTGATTATGTCGCAGAGTGTCAGCAGCTGAGACACTACAAAAGGGAGCGCATCCCATCAAATCTATCTCCATTGTAATCATTCGCACTGCTGAGAGGCTTGTTAGGAACAGGGAATCCATCAGGCCTCATTAGCACCATTTACCATCAAGAAACTTAAAGAGCAAACGTGTACCCTCTCATCAGAATAATGAGAACCAAAGTACTCCTATTATCTAATCGGATCAACAATGCCTCTCTCTATTTAGTTTCCTGAGCTACTTGTGGACTACAGCTCTCAAAAATTAGTTATTTTTTGTTAATTGCCAGGGTGGAGCTGTGCTCAAGGTTTTTCACATACAGAAGGTTTTCACATCTAAAGAGCAAGGCATGGGCACAATGAAGTCCGAGTTCTTCCAAGGGCATTCTTAGATTATACTGATGCCATCCCAATTAAATGCACTGTTCAGTTAAAGTATGTACTGTACAATTACACCATACTTACTTAGGTTTTCCGACTAACCTACCAGGAAATAGAACGTATTGCCCTCTTTAACCACAAGACAGTTCATAATGCCAACTGTTATCATGCTACTTTTTTACTCTTTATGGTAAAATATTATTTTGCAGTTGCTGAAATAGGATGTATTCTTCTCCTATTAGACAATTCCCATCTTTTCAGAAAAGAAACTAAACTTACTCAGCACCCATAGTTAAAATGTATTTGATCCT